AATATCTCCAATTTTATTCACAAAAACTTTCAACACGTGAACTATTTGTAATCACACAAATAAACTTTATAACGAATAACTTAAATAATTCGGTAAGGCACATTACTTATTTATTTTTCAAAAATGGGCACTGATGGCCAAGATAAAATCGAAATTTCTATATTTTTTTTGTTACACCACCATCCCCTGTACTTCACCAGCTAGCGTCCCCTGTCAAAATTCCCTCCTTTCCGGAAATACGTCATACGTCCTCCACCTCCCTCTGTCAAGTCAACGTCGTCTTCTTTTTCGTTATCATTTTCTGAAGGTTACGAATATACTATTTACTAGGTATGCAACCAGTTAAACAATTTCCAGAATACAATTATTTTCTATATTAAGTCGGGGACTGAAAATTGCTACAATAGAACCAAACAGAATTCCTCAAGAATGGAGATCAAGCATCTCTCTTCAAAAAGGAAGACAAATCGGACCCGGAAAATTACAGAGGAATTAATTTATTAAACACAACACTAAAATTAACAACCAAAGTGATAACAAATAAATTAAATGAAATTATAACACTAGCAGAAGAACAACAAGGTTTTAGGTCGGGAAGATCATGCACCGGCGCTATATTTATAATGAGCCAAGTGCAAGAGAAATCATTAGAATACAACAAACCAGCATATTTACGGTTAAACCGCAAAACCTCGGTAAGTCGATTTTTGGTCAATTATGACTTTTATACTTTTTTGGTTTATATGTTTCCATATCTTTTAAACTACGAAATCTTGTAAGTCTATATTTAAATTTAATGGTACTAGCGACATCTACAAAAACCTCGTAAAACTAACTGTTAGCAGAAAACTCTTAAGTTCGACTTGCGTGGTTTTGGAGTTTAATTTTGTGGGACTTCCAGAAACTATTTCATTACTTGAGTGGTGGTTGTCAATTTTGTTGTTGTGTTAATGAGATTTTGAGAAGATAATATCTATTGGTATTACATAGTTTTGATAATGAATTCAAGAGGAAAATATATCTTAAGCTTAATAAAAACAAACAGTGCAGATTGCCAAGAGGGGTAAGTTTACTGTTGTACAATTATTTTTAATGTAATATTAAGGTAATTTGTTCGTAATCAATAAAGCGAGGTTATCTTTTTAGTATAAAAGATGGTCAGGCATCACTTTGTGATAATAATTATGCAGATAAAACCCATGATTTAAAATCTTTATCTCAGATTTTAAATAACAGTAATGATGATGTTATAAATTTAAATTCTGAAGAAACGGAACCATTTGAAGACAGTGGATCTGAATAAATAGTGTCTACCGATGACACTGATGAAAGTGACCAATTTACCAATGAAGCTGAAACTGACAATAAAAATCAAACCAAAAAGAAAAGGGCAAAAAAATGGAATGTACACAAAGAAAAATGGGGTCGCTCTAACAACAGAATAAAAAGAATGCGAGGTGAGAAATATGATTCCAAAATGTACTTACGAAAAAACTACTAAAAAGTACGTAACCGTTGAAAGAAATCAAAGACAAATGGGTCCAGCTTGTGAATGCAAATTGTCTTTAAAATCATCAAAACTCTTTTGCAGAACATTTAGTCAAGAAGATAGGTTACAGTTATTCAATAACTTTTGGCAGTTGAATTGGGACGAGAAAAAAATGTTTGTAAAAGGCCTTGTTGATACAGCACCAATTAAACTACGCAAAGCAGGTAACTAATAATATTTTAAACTCTATAATAGGTTTACTAAAATAAATTTGATTTTAGAAGCCATTGAGAAACAGCGGAAAGGTACCTTATGTTTTCATTTAAAAAAGAATAGTATACGACTTCGGGTATGCAAAAAAATGTTTTTAGAGACACTATGTGTAGGGAAGTGGAGTGTAGCAAGTTGGTAGAAGTTGTTTGAAACCCAAAATATTGAGCAATTGAATACTAATTGTAAATCCGAGCCAACGGAAAAGAAAAAGTTCCTAATTAACTTTTTTCAAAAGTTGCCCAAACTTGAAAGCCACTATTGCCGTAAAGAAACATCTAAATTGTATTTAGAACCGATGTGGCAAAATATAAACGAATTATATAGATGTTACACTAATGAATGTCGATCAACTAACGAACATGCTCCAGTAAGTCACACTTATTTTAGAAGACAATTTGAGGACCAAAATTTGTCTCTGTTTAGGCCAAAGTAAGTGTTTACTTATTGTTATTTTATTGCCTCCAATAAATCAATTTTTTTAGGAAGGACCAGTGTGACATCTGCACTAGTAACACTGTTGGGACTGTAAGTAATTAAGATTATCAGTTACATATTATTAGAAAAAATGCTGCTCGCCAAGAAAAGGAAAAATTAAAACAGTCCACTAAAAACGATTCAACTAAATTGTTGTTCACTATGGATTTACAAACGGTTTTAAGTGCGCCAAAATTGCAAGTATCTGTTTCGTACTATAAAAAGAAACTTAATGTTCACAACTTGTGCTTTTTTAATCTAGCATCAAATAAGGGTGACTGTTACATCTGGCATGAGGGAGCCGGAAATATAAAAGCTTCTGACTTCACATCAATTGTCATTCACCAGATTGAAAAGTATGTAACAGAAGAAACAAAAGAAGTTATTTTTTTTTCTGATGGCTGCAATTACCAAAACAGGAATCCAACTTTGAGTAGTGCTTTATCCAATTTTGCAGCAGCAAAGAATATTCAAATTTACCAAAACTATTTGGAAAAAGGACATACTCAAATGGAGTGCGACTCGATGCACGCCTGCATCGAGCGTCAGCTGAAAAATATGTACCTGGCCGTTATGTTCAAATTTGTAAAAATGTAAAATTACAGCATCCTTATGATGTTCATTACCTAGATCATCTTTTCTTTAAAGATTATTCCCAGATTGAAACATATCCCTCAATTCGTCCAGGTAAGAAAAAAGGTGATCCTACAGTCACAAATTTAAGGTGTCTAGCATATCGTCCGAATGGTCTTATAGAGTACAAATTGTATTACGAAGATGACTGGAAACTACTACCGCAACGACCCAACAAAGAAAAAGCAAATAATGCTCCGCCATTATCATATCCTACTGCACCAAAAATAACACTTTCTAAATTTAATGATTTGCAGGATATGAAAAACTTTATTCCTAAAGATTTTCGGCATTTTTATGAGTCTCTTGCTCATGAATAAATAGAGGATATTAGCCAGTTATAAATTACCACAATTTTTATTTTTTATTTTTTTTTATTCTTATGGACAGAATTTAATTTAATAGTGAATATTAGCAAGTTTTATAAACTACGGCTATTTTGGTTTTGATTTTTTTACTTTTTAAGTATAAAGATTGGTTGTCACTACTCGTTTTTAAGAATATTTTATAAGTTTTATACCATAGGTGATGTAATGTAATAAATTAACTAAAAATAATTTAATTTATTGCTTTTTTTTTAACCTCGGAAGTGGTTCTTTTGAGACAAAACCTCGTAAGTTTACTGACAGTTTAAGATTTTAAGTTGCAAAACCTCGTAAGTGGCTTTTTGACAAAAAAAAAAACAATGTTACTAAATTTTACTTAAGAGTAATGTAATCGTTACCTCAAAAGAACCCTACACTCAAAAAACGAGAAAACTGAATGTTAAGTCAAGAAGCCAAAACATGTTTCGTCTCTCCTGTAAAGTTACATAAAACTGACTTACGAGGTTTTGCAGTTTAACCGTCGATATCTATGTTTCGTGGACCTTACAAAAGCATTTGACCAAATTAAAATTTGAGTCAAATTAAAAGACGTTTATCCACTTACTGTATGCAAGAGAGATACCTCTATGAATAATCGAAACGATCGAAAATATCCACCAAAACAACACAATAAAAGTAAAAGTAGAAGAAGAACTAACCGACCCTATTGAAGCTGGCAATGGGATAAGACAGGGAGATTACCTGAGTCCTCTATTCTTCAACCTGATTATGGATGAAATAATAAAAAAAGTAAGAACTAAAAAATGATAGCAAATGGGAGAAAAACAACTTGAAATAATCTGCTATGCAGACGATGCAATACTATTCTCTCAAAGTGAAGATGTTTTACAACGTATGCTGCACCAATTTAATATAACCGCCAGAAAAGTTAACATGTTAATTTCTCCAACAAAGACAAAATGCATGGTTACAACAGCAAATTTACTAAGATGTAAATTGAAACTGGAAGGTCAGATAATCTCGATAAGATAGCTCGAAGCCAAAGTGAAAGATCAAGTGAATAGAAACAGAGCCGCAGGCTGCCTAAATGAAACAATATGGACAAATAAAAATATCGGGAAAGAAACGAAAGGCAGAATTTACAAAACAGTCATCAGACCAATAATGACATACGCGGCAGAAACAAGACCTGATACAGAGAGGACAAAAAGGATGTTATGAAACAGCAGAAATAAAAACACTTAGAAAAATTGATGGTAAGACACTATGGGACAAGCTGGAAGTAAAGATATACGACATAGATGCAAGGTGGAGAACATCAAAAACTGGGTAAGAAATAGAAGAGTAGAATGGAACGATCATATAAGCCGAATGTCAACAAATAGAGTAGTAAAGACGGCAATGGATGGTTCCCCAATAGGAAGACGGTCAGTAGGAAGACCATGAAAACGATGGAATAACAACTTACTGGAGGCACATTGAAAAACAGACAGAGTCATGTCTATATAAAAAGAAGAAGAAGAAGGAAAAAAATTTTAAAAGTCAATGCATTTATACTAGATATTTGTGAACCAATCAGTTGTATTTCGAGTATGTCCCAAACATTGTATATGACTATAAGCAAGACTATCCACTACAGGAAGAACTCAAAGGGGACAAAGCAGGGTAGAGCCAAATTTAAGGGTTTATGTAGAACACCATCTGTTTTCAATTGTAATAAAATAAATATCAGCATCTGGCTGCAATTTTCGAGTGTATAGTTAGATATCCTAACGTTATATAAAAATAAAGATTCTATTAGTAGACTAGTCTAAAAAACTTACCTGCAATATTTGTTGTAACCTTTTCGCCTTCATTTTTCCAGACGTTGAAACAAACTCCTTAATATCGTTTAAATATTGGACTAACTGTTTTTCTTTCACTTTGGGAGGATCCCAGGTGGGGTTATACATTGATGCTTCATTGAAAGATTCTAGAGCCATTTTGAACTCTTCTTCGTATTTCAAAGTCTACAAGAAATTTTGTATTTTTACTGACATAAATTTCAATACAACATAACAAAACTGAATATTCTGCACTTAAATAAAATTTCTATATAAAAATTCACACTTTGAATAACAAATTGACAAATTGAAAGATAAAATTAAGCACAACTGAAGCCTCCAATAACGTTTTCCCATAATAAATCCGCAGAAACTTAATAAATTTACAATTTAAGATTAAACAAACTGAATTTATTCAGAATTGACGCATCAACCATAAAAGGTAATTAATATTTTACAAAAAAGTATTGTGTTATGGTATTAAGTTATGAAAATTACGATAAATATACAACATACAAATGACAATATAATAAAAAATATACTCCCTCTATAACGAACACGGTTATTACGAGTTTTCGCTTATCACGAGGTACATTAGATGTCCCGTGAAATTTCTATTGAACTACAACCCTCTATAGCGAGATAAATTTGCTTATAACGAGAGAAAATAAGATTGAAAAACGTGTTTTTTTACGTTTTGGGCCGGCCGTAGCTATACATAAATACCATTTTTAACTGCCGTCCACAATAAACTTTTTACAATTTATGATTCTTAGTAGGAAATTTACAATTTATGATTCACAAGTGTCATTGTAGGGGGTTGACCATTCACACCTAATAATATAGGTCCTAATATACAAGATGTGGAAAGTGTTTTAAAGGTTGTCAGAAACTTTATGCAAAGAAAAAACGCAAATGAAGAAGCATAAAACTGTTTCACATCTTTAGAAAATATGATAGATAGAATACTGGACAATTTAAAGCAGTCAAAAATGACAGATTTCTTCCAATTGCAGACGCAGTAGTTTATGTTATTCTCGAAAATACGCTTTATACAGATTTACAGAATACAGATTTTTTGTTTTAACGTATATCATTGACAATAAAAGTAAACAACTCTTTATAGTTTATTCGTCTTCCGGGTTTGGACCGTGTCATTTGTGAGTGACCCAAAAGTGGGTTCATCTCGACGTTTCGCTACAATTGTATGTAGCTTCTTCAGGAGAACAAAAAAAAAAAAGAAATCAAAAGACAGGAAGATGGGTAGTTAGCAACGGTAACTCAGTTACCCAACGCAACCAGAGGCGAATACTAACTACCAAGATGGGCATTTGGTCACAGTAACTCAACTACTTAACGCAGCCAGAGGTGAAAACCAAATGCCAGGACAGGGATTCACGTCCAACAGCTCAGAACACTAACGCGTCGAGAGGCGGGGAGTGAATCCCGCCTGGGATTCACTCCCAACTGGAAAGTTAATGTTTTAGAAAAATACATATTCATATGTATGCACACTATTATGGTTGTTGGATATAACGAGATGCGCTTATAATGAGGTAATTAGTCTGCCATTTCAGTTCTCGCTATAGAGGGAGTCTACTGTATGATTACAATTTCATAATTTGTAATAGATTTTTGTGTCCCCCTAAGGAATTTAATAGTTTAAAGAGGTTCTGAAACTGTTTGTTTTCTTGTAGCATATCTAAATTAAATATTATATTTATATGTGATTAAACAACAATTGATTGAAATAAAAATTATATTTTATATTTATTTTGACACATGTTGGTATTAATTGGCTTTTTGCTACAAGCAGTTAAAACGTTTTTACTTGAAAATTCTGAGGTTTGTGTTGCACCTCGGGATGATCCAGCTGCCGGTCTAGTACAATTGTACTATTTCTTAGTACATTTTAAGCACATGAGTACAAAAGTACATTTTGTAAATTATCCACCCATTTCTAATACAATTATTACACAATCTATTTTATTCACTGTATACGGGTAATTAGATATATAAAAATGTCAATTTTTGTATTCCTTTCATCTATTTATTCCTTTCATTTTTCTTTTTATGTATAAATAGAATGCATATTTCACTGTCATTTGCGGTATCACTACTTCTAAAATATGAAAGAGTGGGGCAACAATATTGCAACTTTAGATATTTTCTTGATTTCTTGTGTAGATGCCACTGGTCGTTTGCATTGAATGCTTCGATTTCAACTTTTAATAAGTAAATCTTTTTAGAAAAAATATTGTAATCCAAATTTTTAATTTAAATATGTACAAATCTACAAATTATAATATAATTAAAACTCTCTTTTATGAAATATAAAGAAAATTAATGAAAAGTGAATCACTCAGAGAGAAAGCCCAAACAAATTCTACGTTCTTTCAATTAAAAAAACAATTCCAGATCTCGTTAGTAGGCTTTAGAATATCCTTTTAGCACATACATTAAAGAATTATTTTTACAATTTGAAAATTTTAAATTATAAAGGATAATTTCTGATTTTAAAATTAAAAAAAATATTAAATAAGTAAGTCTCCAAAAATATCTCTCCGGAGCGCAACAAACAAAGATGAGAAAAGAGCCGAAAATGGCTGCTGGTCCCCCTCGAAACACATTTGCTAAAAAACCAAGGGGCTCTAACCCTGACAAAAGTATTCAGAATGGCGGTAGTACACATCCATTATAATACTCAACTAGATCGGGCTCAAGTAGACCTGATCAATAATAAACTAGACAATCACAAACTGGTCAATAATAAACTTCTATAGTTCCATAAAACATCGTCTAGCCAAGGACCCTGTGGGTTAACTGTCTTAACGAGTTCAAAACGAGATGGACTACTGAAATGCCGAGGACTATGTGTGTGGGAGCAAACTTAAATATAGTTGATCCCAATAATATACCCAAGCCTCCCACGATCCTCACCCATGTCTACGAGAAAGATTCTGATAAAGAAATCATTAAGATATGTCTAAAGAGGCATAATCAAGACCTTAAGACAGAAGACTGCTTGTTTAAAAATCGAAAGATCGGGGAGGACGCGCAAATCCTAGTCTATACAATTGACCAGGTCTCGTATAAAGCATTGAGGGCTGCTCATTTCAATTCATATTATAAACTTGGAAAGGTATCCTTTAAGACAATCAGAGATCTCAATGGTTTAAATCAGAATCCTATAAGCGAATTTCGAGGATAGTAAGGCAGCTTCGGCAGAACTTATTGGTGTAATGAGAAGGTTCAAGTAGTTGTGATACAAGAGCTCTGGGTTTACAAGGACAAAATAATAGATCTATCGTGTAAAGCTTATAAATGACCGATCTGCCGAAGTCCCAAATACCTATCTGACCTGGGGCAGCACAAGAACCAATGAAAGTGGTGAACATTACTACAGTTTGTTATGGAACATCACTTAGACATACTAAACGTAGAAAACAAATAAATTTTCATAACTTCATAACAAAAGGAGGCAATTAACAACAATGGCCGCAACTAACATGGCTGGAATTGTAAAAATGGCATGTTTTAGACAAGGTGTGGAGTTCAGACCATCGACACATCTGTTTTCAAATAACAGCCATGATCCAATCAAGGAAGCTTAACGTAGTCCTCGTAAAACAAACTGGGATGTGAAGCAGACCTGGTATGGTGTTTAGGTGGGATTAAAGGGACGATAAGGCATACATTGGACCTAGACATGAACAGTCTTATGAGCTTGCCATGTCAGCGTTTGAAGATAACGGTCCGGAGATATTGAGGAATTTCAACAAGAAAGTACCCTGGTAGAATGACACTCTTGCAAATTAAAAGTCAGACGAAAATTTAGTTTCTGTAAAAGATCAGGTGAGTGGGACGTATTCTTAATTCAAAGTTAGAAAATTTTATTTGCGTGTAATAAAGAAATAAATACTTTTATTATTAAAATTTTCATCCTCTATTAAGTTTTAAAACTAAAAATTTAACAATTTAATATATATATATATACCTATATATATATATATATATATATATATATATATATATATATATATATATATATAAAATTAAAATTTTATTGTGAAAAAACAAAATACCAGTTTGCAAATAAATGACATCGAAATTGTATTAAGCGTATATATATATCTGTTTTATTTCAAATTTCCCGCCTTTTCCCCAACCATTTCCCATTAATTTATTCATTGGGTACAATCTAGTACATTTTATGAAATAATTCTAGTACATTCCTAAATATTTTGACAGCAGCACAATTTGAGATCCCGACGGGATCTCAAATTCTTATCTGTTGTGTCTATCTGTTGTGTGTTTATGTATTATATGTTATGTGTATATAGATGATGTGTCTCTGTTTTATTAATCTATTAATCTTGTATATTCTTCTTTTAGTATTATCAACCAGAGCAATCAATTACATTCTGATTTGCTACAATTGTTACACAGTTTTCTTCATTAAGTAAGATGGGAGCTGCTTCTTTGAGTTTTCTCTTTTCCAAGTTTGTTACATTTATGAATATTAATGCATTTTTCCATTGTAATCTGTGCTCATTGTCCCAGGTATTTTTGCATATCTGGGATCTGTCGTAGTCTCTGTTTTTGATATATGTATGCTCGTTTATCCTCACACTTAGTGGTCTTGCGGTTTCTCCCACATAACAATTGTTGTATTCACAGAGTATTTTATAGATGCAGTTTTTTGTTTTCTCTTGTGCGTTATTAGATTTGGTTTTAGATAGAATATATTTTACTTTATTGCTTGTTTTGAATGTTATTATGAATTTATTTCCTATCATTTCTAAATTTTCTGATAAACTCCTTATTTATGATATTGTTGTCATCTTTAAACCCTTTCTTGTGAGTGTTTCTGGATTGCGTTTAAGTTGTTTCCTTTCTTTTTATAAATCACAATAGGTAATATACAAGAAATATGGACAAAGAAAGCCCTAACTAGTGATTGGAATATTGGAATACTTTGCACCATACACAAAAAAGAAGATATCTTCGAATGCTCTAACTACAGAGGAATTTACGCTTCTAAATGCAGCATATAAAATATTCTCCAGTATACTATGCCACCAAATAATACCATATGCAGAATGAATAATAGGTAAATACTAGGCTGCTTTCAGAGGTGGTAAATCGACAATTCATCAGATCCTGAGTAGAAATCCTAAGAGAAA